TGTAGAAGAGAAAACTCAGGCTCAGAAGGCTCACAACACTCATTCGGGACCATACCTGGACCTTGGTGATAATTGATAAGGATTTGAGCAGTATGATACTGAGGTCATGTGTCCCACCAGTTAGCTCTGGCAATATTTGGGAAACAAGTAAATCAAGGTCCAAACTAGGCTAGTGGTGCAAGGAATGTAAGCAAGGGGACAGGTCAGGGATACAATGAAAACAAGTGCTTGAGGAGCACTTATGGGCACTCTTGAACAGAAATCCATACATCCTCACGAGGACTGGAAACATATTTCACTCTTCAAGCAACTTCACATGAATTGAAGTCACCAGAAATGCAGATCAGAAATAAACTACAGAATTCAGCTACCATTTCAAATTAGTTTCCAGATCTATAGATTGCTTCTATGTTCTAGCCAAAGCATTCTTATTTGCTATAAAGACATTCTTTCAAACAATGCCTTCCATTAACTTCTAGGGGAATTCTAGCCAGAGAAAATGATCTTTTGGAGAAAGGCTTTTTGCTAGAGTAATTGTGTTTGGGGAGGATCTACAATGGGCTTGTCTTCACCTGAAGTTCACTCTGGCAGAAGTACAAGAGAATTTCAATGTGCTATGAGAAATATGGAGTTATAAATAGAAGCTTGTATTGGGTGTTGCTTGTGGCTCAAAGGAGTAGGGCTCTGGACCCATATGCCAGAAGTGGTGGCTTCAAACCCAACCCCCCTCAAAATAGAAGCTTATAAAATGTGACTTTTTAGAAAATTTGGAGTGATGGGATTATCTATGATTTTCTGTTTTCTCACTTATATGTATCTAGGATGAAGGAGAATTGAAGTGATAGTTTAATGGCACCCATGAAAAGGGTAATACTACATCACTGAATTGGACATGGCTACCCTAGACCACTGGGAAATATAGCCAATGGGTTCCTTTGTTTTAAATCAATAAACTTAGCTGCTCTCCACCAGACTTACTTGGAAAATAAATCATTTTTTGAGGAAACTAAGTATTGCAGTTCTTCTTTCTTCCCCAAACCAAAAAGAAAAAGTAAAATGAATCCTTGATTCAGATACAACATTGCAACAGGGAAAAGGATTAATTTTCTTCCTTTCAAGTATTAAAAGGACCGAAAGTCAAGTCTTAGCCACTAGAATCGATTTTTCAGAAGTCAAAGTTCATGTGTTAAGTACGTTTAATAAAAATCATTACCAGGCTTGTCTATGAAAACTAGGTTGTTACAAAAGAATGTTCCCATAACGGTGACAATTTTAGGTGGCTTGCTGAAGGAATGAGAATTGAACAGTGGTAAGATTAGTCTCATATATAAAATGGGTTGTCTTATACCATTAATATAGAAAACATGGCCAAATACTTTTATTTATCTACCTAGAACAATAAAGTTTGGGGAATCTGGTCATGTCATCTGCAAAAGAAGAACCCAAGGGGGAAAATGTGACCACTGAAGTCTTTTGCAATTTTCTGCCTTTTCCTTGGAATCAGTGAGAAAGCGTAAGAGATGCTGCTAAACTCATGTGTTACCACAGAAAAGGGTGAATAGAACTGAAAACGTTACTTTGAAAAATGAATAATAACCACTGAGTTGGTTCACTGCCTGCTGCGTAGTATAGCTGATTCTATTAATTAATTATTGCTAGACATTGATGTTAAGGTATCAGTTATGTGGAAACAATTTAAGCAATCACTAGAAATCATCAAATATGACAAAGAAAAATTATCTGTCAAAAAGTAAGTATTACTCATTTAATTATTGGTGTAATTAAGTTCTCCAGGCTTACCGAGGGATTTACATTTGGTAGACATACTAAGCACAATTACTTTCTCTGTTTTCCAAGTGTACTTTGAGATTCAGGTCATTTATCAGACACATGAAATGTCACTCCATAAAGCCTTAGCAAAATATTAACTGGAAATCAGAAGATTCTAGCTCTTAGTCTAAGGGGTTGAACAGCTACATTTGTATTTCCATTTTGTACTTGAATTTAATTTTGCCTTTGAAAACAAGCTACAGCCCTTAGAGTATGTTCTCCTTGATTTTTTGAGAGCTAATTATGGGAAGGCTTATTTGATATATTTAAAACTAATGACTTAAATTCAGTTTCATTCCTTTTCAGGAATGAGAATATTGGTGAGTAGAATTGCCAAGTAGTATCCCTAGGATTACTTAATAATAAAAATAAAATAATACAAATATCATTAGATTCAACAATTGGAAAATCTTCCGTAGTATTGCACGGTGACCTTAGGCCTATCACTCATTTAACTTTGTGCCTCAATTTTCTCCTTTGTAAGATTGTAAAATTTCTGCTACTGCTATTCTGAAGCCCTAAAAATTGACAATAAGATGGATAGTGAAAGATAAACATAAGTATGGCTAGTCACTGAATTCTGGTTTGCTTTACTTGTTTCTAAAACACTTGGAAGCAAAGAATTTATCCACATGTGCACATACGTGTGTATGGTGGAGAAGAGGAGGATAGGTGGCATGTGTGTACTTAAAGCTATGGATTGTTTGGGAGCCAGGGATATTATTGTTTTATTCATTATTTTATCTTCCAGAGAACTTAGGGAAATGTGTTAAATGAACACATTGATCCCATTATCTCTCTCTTTAGAATGATCTGAAAGACTTCAATTTTTCTCCAATATTCCTAACTTTCCATTTTATTGTCCAGTAAGTCTCATTGGATTTAGCCACTAAGAGACTATAGGACCTTCAGTTGAGGATGCTCTACTTGTTGGTGACCTTGAACTTGTTCTTGATAGTCCCTTGGTCATAAATACCTTTCCAGTCTCCCCGCTCCCCATGAACTCCTAGTTGCACACAAAGGATGGGCTCACTGTGAAGTCTTTCTTGACCACATAATCCCTGTGGGACATTCTACTTTGGCACTTAGCACTTTGTTTTCTCATTATTAATTTGAATGTCCATTTCCTCAGCTAGAATGAATAAACCATGATATATTTGGTTTTTCCATAATCCTAAAGATTATGTGCTTATATCACAGCAAGGATGAAGTTAATAATATATTTTAAATGAATTGGACTCTCAGACTCTTAAAGTTCTTGTGGTAGGTGATTTTAAATAGAAAAGAATGCCTTGCTTCAGACTCATAGGATCCCAGTTAAAATCTGGCCTGTATCACTTGCTGGCTACATGACTTTAAGTCATTAACCACTCTGTGTCCCCATTTATATGAATGTGCAAAGGTCATAACCACAGACCTTAAGTTACAAGGTCATCATAAGTATAACCATAACTCACAGACTGCTAGACAGACCATCGCCTGGTCCACAGTAAGTGCGAAAACTGTTAATAAATATTAATAAGAGTGATGCTTAAGTTCTCACATTTAAAGGGTAGTAAGAGTGAAGCACTGAGAAATGATCTCAGTTTTTCCATATCCCCTTTAAATATCTTCTAAAAAAACTTAAATAATCAGACCAATTCTATGTAATTAGTTTCCCAAAATTATTAAAGCATATTTATTATGTAATCACAATTGACCCTCATCATTTGCAGATTCAAGATTTGTGACTTTCTCTTCTTGCTAAAATTTATTTGTAATCTGAAATCAATGTCCATGGTGCTTTTTTGGTTACGTGTAGAACAGTGAGAAATTTGTGTCCCCAGCTGTACGTTTCCCAGCCAAGGCTGAACAAGGAGATGCTCTGTCTTCTTGTTTCAATTCTCATGTGGTAAACAAGTGCCCTTTTTGAGATATATTAGGTACTATGCATCTGACGTTTTTGTGCTTTTTTTGTTAGTGATTTTGTTGTTGGAAATGACCTCATAGATTCTTTTATCTTTCATCATCCTTATTTTGTTATCCTGTTCATGGATGCGGCAGCATCTCGTCTTAGAATATCCAGGTATCTATTAGTAGCTCTTAGTAAGGTATTTAGTGACATCCTTCTGATCTTGTTCTGTTTATGACTGCTGCTTCTTTCTGGGGCCATTATCATCTTCCATATTATTTTTTATAGTTTCATTTATACTAAATTTTTTCTTTGATGTCTGATGGTCTCAAATTATTGGTTTACATTAAGATGAAATACTAACAAGCTGATTTCAAACTGCAAATTCTAGCGCATGGGGGGAGCTTATTAAGTAATAGCCTCACTACTGGGAATTAATCAGGGATCCGACTGTCAACTTCTCTAAAGTTATTTTCTCTAGAGAATTATTATCTGATATTTTCACCAAGCTGCTATTGCTCTGGGCAGTAGATGAAGGAAGAAGACATGAGTATCTCACATCTTTGACTTAATAACCCTGGCCCACATCTCGGTTCCCTTCTGTAGTTAATCTCTCTGAATCTTTGTCTTCCGTGTTTAATTTCCCTAAAGGGTAAATATACTGGCTGCTCTAAGGTCAGGAAGGGTTATGGTTTTACTGGGTGTGGGTGGGAACCTGAGGCCTAAATTATCTTCATGGCTTCAGACTTTCTCCTGTTTCAGCACCACACTTCAGCCCTACCTTCCAAGTTATTAAGAAAGCAGCAATATCTTGTCCAGTCTTCCCTCAATGTTGTCACGCTTTCTATTACCTTGATTCTCATTACTAGCTCTTAATAAGGTATTTAGATTTCAGCTTTCTTCTTCTTCCTGGTCACCATATCTCCCTCTAATTTGCACCTTCTAATATTAGTTGACGTCTCTCATCCAACATAGTCTTATTTTCTATACTTTTATGGGCTTACACCATTTATAATATTTTGTCATTCTAATGGTCTAGGGTGCAAAGGAGAGGTGATAATCCATGCAATCAGTCAAATGAATTGTGTATGTTTGTTGAAATCAGACAAATAAGAACGCTTTCAGGTTGTAAGAATGGATTTAATTTGGCTCTCAGGCCAAATCACTGGCACTTCTGGCTTCTCTGCTGTCTTCACACTTACGTTTAGGTCACTTCTTTGACCCTGTCCTCTTCTCCTTTCATTCTCCAATGTTTTAATTTACATCTATTATCTTACAGAGTATCAAAGTAAGCTGGCTGCCGCCTCCATCGGGAACACAAAATGGATTTATTACTGGTTATAAAATTCGGCACAGAAAGACGACCCGCAGGGGTGAGATGGAAACGCTGGAGCCCAACAACCTCTGGTACCTGTTCACAGGTCGGTGTTCCCAGGGTGTATGGGGTCTCAGAAGAGTTTGACGAATTAAATGCTTTAGGAATAAAATATGCTTTCACTTCAAAGGAAAATTGATTTTTTTTTTCCTGGCAGGTGACATTTATTGGCCAGAAGAAGGGCAACCTTTATATTTCAACTTTATATTCTCTACAGTGCTTTTAATACGTATTTTGCTCTGTACCGTCATCCATTATAACTGTATCTTGAGGTTTTTAATCCATATTACTTTCTCAGCATTGTGGATTCACCAGGAGTTCCTATTATCTTAATAACTTAATGTTTTCACTGATAACTTGTAAAAGTTATCTAATAACATGGTTCCAAGTTTAAGTCACTTTGATCCTCCTCCTCCAATCTCCAGGGATGAGCAAGGGCTAGAAAAGGAGGAATAGGGTAGATTAGGGAATAAAGAGAGAGATGACTCTACTTTCTGCAAAAACAAAAGTAAATTGACTCTTGTATCAGTATTGTTAGAATTCATGGTACATCAAACTGGACCCAGTTCTCATACAAAGAAATTTTATAATTTCATAAAATGAATACTCACATGTTTCCTTTACATATTGGAACCCCTATAACATGTCAGTTCAAGTTCCCAGGAAATAGACAGAGGCAACGCTTTCAAGGTAACACCTTTGGGAAGGGTAAGCTCAGGAAAGCAGGAGGGAACGGACAAGAGGGAAGAAGGAGAATCAGATGATGGTGGTACATTATTGAGCTGGACAGCCACAACTTTGGAACAAGCTCAGGGCTTGCTATGTCCCCTGGGTAATTCTCGAAAAGCTACATATTTTGTCACAATCCGTGGCTGGATAGGAAATGAGGATGGGAACTACTCTGTACCTCCAGACAACCTCCTGCAAAGCCAGAGAGTCTGATGAAATTGCAGACATGCCATGTACAGGCCAGCACTTTCTGTGATGATGGCTTGGTCTACGACAGTCGCGGTGCTTAGAGATCTACAGCCCTAGGAAGAGCTTCAGCTGTGGTTGGGACTTGGCAGCAGAGAACATAGCAATGGCTCATGACAGACATCGGAAGGTGAAGTTGTGCAAAACTGGAGTGGCACACGAACTGGGTTTGGGAGAACATACAAACTGTGAAGTATGTACCTTGTGATTAATGGATAAAGCAAGCTAGTATTTCAAATGAGAAAAAAGTAATACTTTCTTTATTCCTTTTCTCTACACCAGATATTTAGTACATTTCCACTGGAAATGATAGCATACACACACACACACACACACACACACACACACAGAGTAAATGTCTTGTTTAGCTCAAAATCAGAGACTTGAAAGTGCCCTGGGTTTTCTCCCAGTGTCCAAATTTTGTGCCTTTTCTGCCTATAAAATTTTAGCACAACGGTGAGAAGGCTTCCAAGGTTGATTGTCAAAAATGACATTACACGTTTTCAATCTAGACAAAATCTCCTTGACAGGTATGGTTGAATCTAAGAGAAAGTATTGGCATTTTACCATACCATTTCAAAAGCTTTTTAAAAACCAAATCAAGCTTCTGTGTTGTTTTTGTTGTTGTTGTTGCTGTTGTGATTTTTGTTTGTTTGTTTGTTTTTTGAGACAGAGTCTCACTTTGTCACCCTCAGTAGAGTGCCGTGGCATCACAGCTCACATCAACCTCCAGCTCTTGGGCTTAGGCAATTCTCTTGCCTCAGCCTCAGGAGTAGCTGGGCCTATAGGCACCCGCCACTGTGTTTTTTTTCCTTGATGAAATCATGGAAGGAGATAAAAATAATTGAAGTGAGGCATGTCTGTTTATTTAGTACCACATGGAATTTACTTAAAGAGAACTCTCCAAAACTGAAAATAATGCTGAAAATATTTTCGTATATTCCTAGATTTAATATTAGACTAGAAGAGACCCTGAGGATAATGTGACCCAAGACTCACTTTTTTAAAGATATGGAAATTTGATGCTCTGAAACTTTCTTGCCATTGCTTTTCTTCCTGAAATGAAAAAGATTGAAAATATAAAATAAACGCATTATAAAAGAATGAATTAAAGGATGAATATTCCAATAGACTAAGGAATGGAAATTCAATTGACAGAACTATAAACAGCCAATAAACATGATAAAATGTTCAATCTCATTAGTAAATAGAAAAATGCAAATTAAAACAAAAATGAGCTGGCATTATCCTTTGATTAAAGTAATAAAGATAAAAATAAATGATGGCACCCTGTCCTGGAAGGAAAATGAGGCATGTTGTATTTCAGTCCTTCTCCCAAGAGGTGTGCCTTATACCCCTCGGACTTTCCCTAACAAATGCAGACAATATAACTATTGTGTGTACCCTCATGTTAATCTGAAATTAAAAAAATTAAAAAGAATATGAGAAATCTAAACTTTCCTATACTCCTTGTGGGACAGAAAATTTCTGGAACCTTTCTGTAAACCAATGTTGATCTATTTGTCCTATTTATATATAAATACTTGAATATGGGTATGTATATATGTACTTATATTAATATATGCACATTTGTCATAGAGGTCATAAAGAAAAAATTTTAAATTTAAAATTCTAAGGATTTATCCTAGGAAACAGTCATATTTTTTGCAAAGTTCTTAACTAGAAACATATCCATGCAACAGTATTTTAATAGCAAAGAATATTTCTTATAAAACTTATGCATCCAACTACAGACAGTGTCCTAGATAACTCAGACACAATCGTATCACCGAATATCATAATGCAGGGTAAATATATTAAATGACAAGTTAATATTTTTAACCTATTGTTAAGGAAATGCTTCAATTTTAAATCAGGTATATTACGTGAGTCCATATTTATAAACAAAAATATGCATTCATATAAAAATTTTTGAACAATTATATATGAAAATGTTAATAGCGACTATTGTTTGCTTTTTAACAATACAATATGTATTTGTAATTGCTCGTGTAAATTACAAAAATAAATGAACAGTCAAGACTTCAATGGCATATTACAACTTGCACTTAAACCCAAAATTGAAGCTTTCCTCCCACTAAAGCTATCTCAACACCAGATAAACAGCTTAGAGGGAATGGTCTGGGCAAACAATGGAGAGTGGCAGCCTCATGGCAACTGAATTCACTGGTGGTTGTGAGTTCACTTAGTTCTTTTGACAAATAGAATTTAATACATTTAATACATTCAGTATTATTGAACTAAAACTCTGACTCTCTAAATATACAAAATTTTAGTACTTTCCTTCTGTGTAAGATAAAATCATTGAGAGAGAGAGAGAGAGAGAGAGAGAGCAAGAGAAAGAAAGGGCACATGGACACAGCAAGTATTAACCCTCTCACCACCAAAGACCCTGTTTTAGTCCTATGGATGCTGGAACAAATGACCACATACTCGTTGGCTTAAACCAACATGAATGTATTCTCACAGATCAGGAGGCAAGAGGCCTGGAATCCGGGTGTTAGCAGGTTTGGTTCCTTCTGGAACATCTGCGAAAGAACCCAGCTCACGCCTTGCTCCTGACCTCTGGTGTCGCCAGCAGTCCTGGGTTCTCCTCTCTTTGTTCCAACCTCTGCCTTTGTCTTTGCCTCACCTTCCCCTCTCTGTTTTCTCTCATCTTGCAATAGGGACACCAATCATTTCAGTTAGGCCCCACCTCAAATCCAGAATGAGTTCAACTTAAGATCACCAATCAATTATGTCTGTAAAGACACTATGTCCAAGGAACATCATGTGCTGGTGATCCAAGTAGACATGAATTTTAGGAGGGCACTACTCAACCCACTACAGACATTTTGCAGTTACTTTTCCACTCTAAGATAATCATTTTGAATTATATCTTTTAATAAACTTTATTTATTCAAAAATAAAAAGTTGGGTTCTACATTTTTATTCATCTAACACGTGTGACAATTACAGCTTCTAATCAGCATGGAGTGGCCCATCATCACTCTGATTTGTTATCATTCCAACCAAAAGCAAAGACATGAGTTGTATGAATTAGTTTGTTATTGGGACTAGCTCACAAATGTCTATTTCTATTTTTACAGATTTTAGGAATCGGGACCCAAATTTGAAGTCTTTGTTCATACTGTTACTTATTCATTTTATGAGTTATAAAGACATATATAGGAATACAAATAGGTTCTGAGGAGCCGTATTTATAACTGCACCTGAAATTTATTGCCAAAAATAATCGCACATAATCCTTTTTTATTTGAACTAAAGCAATAAAAAGGTTATTGATCCAACTAATTAGCATAGCTTTCATCTCATTTACTTAATCACAGTGCTAAGACATTTGTATTCTATACTTGATCAATCCCATAAAGGCATAAATGTATTCATGATCTCTGTATATATGACTTAATGAAAGAAAAGGTTATTGAATAGCATCATACCCTTAAACATTTTTAAAGAAGCTCTGCAAAACCTCTGCCTTCCACTCCCTGCTCTATTCTTGGCTATAGAAACACCTGTTGCATTATTAGAAATTGTGGGTATGTCCTCAGTGCTATAAAGCCTTAAGGAGCCCTGGGAAATAACACCATACACTGGTAGCCTGGCTGGGCTTTAGAGTCGGCCCCAGGATATATCTAGCAACTTCCATACGATGTAGTATACAGGAGTAATTGATTTTCCATCTACATCAGCAGCCCTGTAAAATGTAAAAAAATCGACCCTATGTTTTCAATGCCTGTAAGATACATGGGTATATTGATTCGGCTGTTAGAAAATCGGGATTGCCAGAACGCTTCATTTGTATGATATAAATATTCAGGTGTTGAGGCGCAAACATTTTTTTTTTTACCATCCGTTATTTGTTAGACAGGTGTTTTTTGTTGTGTGTGTTTTTTACCAGGATAATGAGACATCTGCAATAACAAAGCAATTCAGAGTTATAACAAGGGTTTTAAATGGTTGCTATCAGCTTTATTGTGGGAATCTGTGTCAACTAAATATTAAAATGCTCTTTTTAATTTTTGATCGCTCTTCAGAGAAGGTTGTTTG